ACAAGTCGCTGAGGTCGATCTCCTCCTCGTCCGAGTCCACCTGTTCGCACCCACAGCCGTGAAGAGGCGCCGTTCACACCTCAAGCCGAACCTCCCTCATCCGAGACCACCGCACGCCGCCGGTCAAACTGCACGCCGCCGCCGCCACCTCCGCCTCCTCCGCCGCCCGCCTCTATCTGCTCCAGGAACCGCTTCAGCTGCCCGTCGTCGAGCTTGCCTTGCAGCCGGCCAGACCGCGCCATCCCAATCACCTGCGCCAGCCAGGCGCGCCACTCCTCAGACTCTCCACTCCCCACCACTCCGCTCCTCGTCGCCTAGTGCCGCCGCGCGCCTCGCCACCACCAGTGCCGCACCCCGACGTGCGCACGCGACCATCGCGTGGCTCTCCCTTCCCACGGCAAAGTTGTGGCTGCGCTCGGCGGGACAGCGCCGCTCCCCTTCCCTCATGACGCTGCACCGCTCTTGAGCCCTCTGCGCCGCTGACGCCGTCTCGCGACCTCTGCCATCTCCCGACCCCCACCCCGGCCACGGGCTAGGCTACAGGCGCGCGCCATCTCCTCGAGCCGCTTCGCCTTGTCGGGCTTGACGAGGGCGATCCGGGAGAGACGCTCCTTCGCCTCAGGCGAGAGGATGCGGACGAGCAGGTCGGCGCGCATCTGCTCCTGCTCGACCTGCTTCTGTTGCGCCTGAGCCACGTCCTGCTGCGTCGGCATCCCGTTCGGGCCACCGCCGCCCGCCGCAAGCTGCTGAGCGATGGCCGGGTCGACCTGAGGAGGAGGAGACTGATGAGGAGAGGTGCGGAGGGCTCTCCCTGCCTCTCGGCGGTCGGGCCTGCGTCAAGCCGGGTGGGAGCGACATGCGTTCGCAGGCAACAAAGCGGGCTGGCCTCTCGAAAAAAGAATTTCGACCGTCGCACAGTGTTGTGTGAAAAAAAAAATTCGCCAAAAGAAGAACCACTTTACTCCCTCCCCACCCTGGCACCTGACTGGCGCGCACTGGCACTAACACAGGTCCCAGTGTTGTGCGAAAAAAGAATCTCAAGGTGCACAGCTTGGCGATCCGCCTCCACTCTTTGTTGCTCGCTCGCCCGGGCGGAGGGCATGGCCGCGGAGGAGGCGGGCGCGCGCTTGCCAGGCCTTCCGCAGACAGCCTCTCGGGCAGACTGAGGGTCGGCTTTGCGTGGCGTGGCCCGTGCGCTGCGCTGCGCAAAGCTGCGTGTGCTGAGGGAGCATCTGAGGGATCCCCTGAGGTTCCGAAAGGAGGCGGCCGCGTGCTCTACCCCCCTGCCACTATGGAGAATGTGTCCTCCCTGCTCGACCTGCCCTCGGACTTGGTCGCGCGCGTCGTCTCGCTTTGCGCCAGCGTGGTCGACATTGCTCGCGTCGGGGCCGCCTGCCGCCTGCTGCACGTGTCTGACTCCGTCGCAGAGGCACTCCGCATGCGCGCGCGAGAGCGCGGCTACGAGGTTCCAGCGGATGGGAGGCGCGCTGCGCGGCTCCTCGCTGCCATGCTGCGCGAGGCCAGCCCGCGGGCGAGGGCGGCGGCAGGTGCTGACCACAGCGTCTTCATTGACAGTGAGGGCCGGATCGCGTCATGCGGCATCGAGTTCGTGGGCCAGCTGGGCGTGCTCGGCCACGGCCCTGGCCACGGCGGTGCGAGCCAGCTGGTAACGCCAACACGCCTTCCGTCGCTGCTGGGCGGCGAGCGAGCCGTCAGCCTGTCGGCGGGAGACTATCACAACCTCGCCATCACATCCGACGAAGCTCTGTGGTCCTGGGGCTACGGAAGGCCGGGTCAGCTCGGCCACGGCACCCACGAGGACCAGCTTCAGCCAAAGAAAATCGAGGCGTTCGCTCGCCAGCGCGTTGTTGCTGTGTCGGCCGGGCTCGACCACAACCTCGCCGTCACCGCCGACGGCTCTGTATTTAGCTGGGGGGTTGGGGAGGACGGCCGCTTGGGTCACGGCGACGAGCAACCACAACTGCTGCCCAAGAGGATCGTGGCCCTGTCTGGGTTGCACGTTGTTGCTATATCGGCGGGAAATTCGCACAGCCTCGCCGTCACGGCCGGCGGCGCCGTCTTTTCGTGGGGTTGGGGGCAAGCTGGTAAGCTGGGGCACGGGTCCCATCGCAGCCAGCTGCGGCCACAGAGGGTCACGGCGTTGGAAGGGCAAAGCGTCTTGAGTGTGTCGGCGGGCCACAGCTACAGCCTCGCTATCACCGTCGATGGCGACGTCTATTCCTGGGGGTCTGGCTACTTGAGCCAGTTGGGCCACGGCAGCGAAGAGGTATGCCTGCTGCCAAAGAAGGTTGAGGCCTTCTCTGGGCAGCGCGCCGTCGCTGTGTCGGCGGGGGACTACCACAGTCTCGCAATCACCGCCGGCGGCGACGTCTATAGCTGGGGGAAGGGCAACGCTGGCCAGTTGGGCCACGGCAACATCGGATCGCAGCCGCTGCCAAGGAGGATCGCGGCGTTGGAGGGGCGGCGCGTCGTCGCCGTGTCTGCGGGCAGCTTGCACAGCCTCGCTTTCACCGCCGAGCCTGTCGGTGCCTGGAGCTGGGGCGCTTCGGGCAGCCACTTGGGCCATGGATACGAGATGAGATTGTCGCGGGTGACGGGACAGCTCTCACACCAGCTGCTGCCGATGGCCACCCCCCTTCTTTGAAGAGGTTGGGTGGACTACTGTGAGTAATGGTGGATACCTGCTCCTTTGTGACCGCGTGGCTTTGTTCGTAGCAGCGAGCCAGACCCTGGCCAGACCACCGCGTCATCGGTGTCGGGCAATGGGATCGATTGCGAGCGAGAGACCCTCGCATCTCCACGACACGGGCGCAGTATGTGCATGTCGATATAGACCATGAAGCGACAACAGTCAAAACACACAAGCACACTTGACATCGCGGGGCGCCAGCGCGCGCTGCCGCACTCGCTCTATGACAGCGACACGTCTCACGTGCTCGCCGACGGGCCACGGCCACGGCCGCGACATCGAGTTGTGCACACTCCACGAGAGGTCAAATCAACTAGCACAAGTCCGCCCCCGGCAAGCCGCGGGCGCGCATGCGTTCAGGCCGACCCACGGCGCGTGCCAAGCTGCCGCGCCGGCCCTTGCCTGCTACCTTCCCTTACCTTACCTTCCCGGCTGGCTCAGGCAGGCCGGGGTGCAAAAAAAGCTCACACCATGCAAGAGGTCCAGGGGGGCTTAAAAGGTCGGGGGGGGGGGGGGGGGGGGGGTCCCCCCCAAAACCTTTGGGTATTGGGAAAAAACAAAGCCCCCCCACCTCCATTCCTTTGGGGCGGGCGCCGCCGCTGCCCCGGTTTTTTCCCACACATTGGGGGGGGGGGGAATATAATATTTGGTGGTTTGGGGGGCGGCCCCCCCCCCCCCCT